GTAGCGATATCGTGGGCTGCTGTATTGATGTAATGCCAAGAGTATTTTTTATGTATTTTAGTTCATTATTTTGTTACAGCTACAGTTTTGTTGTTTGTTTAGAGGAGGAAAACTCATTTATGCGAAACATTTGACATTTTCATTGTTTTGATGATTAAAATGTGTGTGTTTCATATTCACTTTGCACAAGAAGTGGTTTAACAAAGGCTTTTAGTGTCACAGAAATCATTTAGACATAATTTTTTGTTGAACCTTATCATAGTGACTAGAAATATATCGTATCGAACCAAAAGTGCACTGTATCGAGATATGTATTGTATCGTGGCTTATGTATTGAGATATCGTATTGTATCGTGGCCTATGTACCGAGATATGTATCGTATCGTGGCCTATGCATCGAGATATGTATCGTATCGTGGCCTATGTATCGAGGTATGTATCGTATCGTGGCCTATGCATCGAGATATGTATCGTATCGTGGCCTATGTATCGAGGTATGTATCGTATCGTGGCCTATGTATCGAGGTATGCATCGTATCGTGGCCTATGCATCGAGATATGTATCGTATTGTGGCCTATGTATCGAGATATGCATCGTATCGTGGCCTATGCATCGAGGTATGTATCGTATCGTGGCCTATGTATCGAGGTATGTATCGTATCGTGGCCTATGTATCAAGATATGTATTGTTACATGGCCTATGTATCGAGGTATGTATAATATCGTGGCCTACGTATTGAGATATGTATCGTATCGTGCCTATGTATCGAGATATGTATCGTATCATGGCCTATGCATTGAAGTATGTATCGTATCGTGGTCTATGTATCGAGGTATGTATCGTATCGTGGCCTACGTATCGAGGTATGTATCGTATCGTGGCCTATGTATTGAGGTATGTATCGTATCGTGGCCTATGTATCGAGGTATGTATCGTATCGTGGCCTATGTATCGAGGTATGTATCGTATCGTGGCCTATGTATCAAGATATGTATCTATGTCGAGGTATGTATCGTGGCCTACGTATTGAGATATGTATCGTATCGTGGCCTATGTATCGAGATATGTATCGTATCGTGGTCTATGTATCGAGGTATGTATCGTATCGTGGCCTATGTATCAAGATATGTATTGTTACATGGCCTATGTATCGAGGTATGTATAATATCGTGGCCTACGTATTGAGATATGTATCGTATCGTGGCCTATGTATCGAGGTATGTATCGTATCATGGCCTATGCATTGAAGTATGTATCGTATCGTGGTCTATGTATCGAGGTATGTATCGTATCGTGGCCTATGTATCGAGGTATGTATTGTTACGTGGCCTATGTATCGAGGTATGTATCGTATCTGCAACTTCTTAATGATACCCAGCCCTATTTCCTGGAATGTTCCACATTATGGCATTAAACTTAATTATTTATATTGCATTTATTCAATTACAGGTATGTTTATTGCTCCACAAATTAGCCCTGAAAAACATGCACTTTTATAGATGTGACCCCTTTAAAAGTGCTGTACTACGTAGCTTTTCGGAAAGGGGTCTGGCACCTGCTTGTTTCTATGGTGAAGTTATTGCTTTGCCTGGAATGTTCCGCTGTGTGGCATTAAACATGTATGAATTCTTACTGTGAGCGGGATTACCTCTCCACATATTTGACCTATAACTCGTGGCATCACCTGCTTATCTCTCTCAATATAAATACATTTTATGCCATATTGTGGAACATTTCAGACAAAGCAATAACATCTCCATGGACATAAGCAGGTAGCGGACCCTCCACCTTTGACCTGATCTGTTTCTTTGTAAGTTTAACACCGTGGAATGCAACGTGGTTTGAGTTTTTGGAAATGCGCTGTATTGTAAATCCTATATAATATTGCAGTAACATCTCCATGGAGACGAGCAGGTGGCAAACCCTCCACCAGAACAATTACATAGAGCTCCTTTAACTACCAGGATGTTGTGATTTAGCTCTGAGCACATGTGGTAGACAGTGCATAAAATAGTGTAGGCAGGAGTTTACACCAAAGGGAATGAAAGACGAAATTAATTGTTCTCTGGTGAAAATGTTGTTTAGCACTTAGTGAAGCATTCAGCCTGTTCTGGTGACGAGCTCTGGGGCCACCGTTCAGTCATTTATGCCTCCCAACAGTAACAAAGCACTGAGCGTTTAAGCATAAAACTTACTGTGAACTAATTAGAATCATATTAACAGACTAGAAAACTGTTGCTGTGTATTCCTGACACATTTTTCACTGCACCCTGTGTTGTATGCTAATGTGAATTTTTAACCAACTTAATAGGAATTATGGGTGTGTAAAAACATCAAAATATCATGATACAAAATTTGGTGATGCAGTATTGTTATCTTGGACTGCTGTATCGATATATAGACAGAGTATTTTTTGGTATCTTTTAGCAATTTTTTGTGTGACCACACTATAATTTTGTTGCTTATTTAGTGGAAGGAAACTTGTTTATGGAATACACTTGACATAACCACTGTTCTGGTAATTAAAATAGCTGTATTTCATATTAACTTTACACAATTAGTGATTTAACAAAGAAATGTTGTTCGCTATCATGATAATATCTCATCGTGAGCCATGTATTGAGTATCGTACCGAATCGTTAGGGACCCTGTGATTCCCTAGTCGGGCGACACCTAGTGCCTCTGTTCAATTTCATTTCTCTCTAGTGACTAGGTCAGAAATCAGAATATACTAGACAATTTGCAAGAACCCCGGAAGTTGTAGACCGCGCACTGGCCAATCAGCGAAGAGCTGTGAAGCCATGAGGTCCCTGTCTGGGTCCCTTTTGTGGTACAGCACAACAGTAAACAAAGGGGTCGAGATGGATGCAGACGAAGCCAGACATTCTGTGTTGGCAATGATTCCTGAGATCGAGGATTTACAGCCGGAACAAAGAGAATGTTTGGTGAATTTTATCAAGAGGAAAAATGTTATTGCCTTTCTTCCTACAGAATTTGACGCATTATATATGACCAAATAGTAGTAATTGGTTAAATAAAAAAAGTACCCGCTTACTGTCGAGCGAACGAATCCTAATGCTGCGAGGTCAGACGGTTTTCACGAAGATGAATCAGCTGATAAATCAGGCTAGAGATTCCCAGCCCTAATATGAATGCACTGAATATAGGGCTGGGAAATATTAAGAAGTCAACAATACCATACATATCTCAATACATAGGCCATGATACGGTACATATCTCGATACAGTGCACTTTCGGTTCAATACGATATATTTCAAATAGATTCGATACGGTTTAATAAAAAATAAAGGCTAAATTATGGCTGTGACACTAAAAGTCTTTGTTAAACCACTTCTTGTGCAAAGTGAATGTGAAACACACTCTCACACACCCATTTTAATCATCAAAACAGTGAAAATGTCAAATGTGTTGCATAAATGACTTTCCTTCCTCTGAACAAACAACAAAACTGTGGCTGTAACAAAATAATTTGGTAAAATACACCAAAAAATACTCAGCAGATACAGCAGCCCCTGATATCGATACTGTATCATTACATTAACTGATACAATATATCAATATTTTGATATTTTTGCTCACCCCTAATTGAATATATACAATACACACTCTATACCACTATAATACTGTTAGAAAATACCTAAAAAGATTGTCTATTTTATTTCTAATATTGGATAAATAATTGCTCTCTCGTGTTATTAAAAGGGGTCCCAATGATTAAAGGTTCACCGTGTAACTTTTCTGGAGTGAGACACCTACTTACCTCATGAATATGTTAGTGTTTTGCCTGGAAAGTTCCGTAATATAGCATTAAACTTATTTGTCATTCATTTGAGGGGTGTTTTAAGCAAAAGATAACTTGGAAAACATACATTCTTACAGTGAGAGGGGTCCCCTCTCCGCAGAGCTGTCTTGTAACTGGTGACATCATCATCTTGTCTCAGCGGAGAAAGTTTGGTTTAACGTCATAATGCGGAACTTTCCAAGCCAAGGAGCTTCCATGGAGATGAGCAGGTTAAAAAAAAGTCACAGAGTCTGTTCACAGTATTGATGAATTTCAGATTTTATTTTTGAATGTTAGATTACAGGCCAGAATCTGAAACTGGAATATTATGTTTTCTGAATTTAGATGAAAAATTAAATCAGTGTTTTGCTTCTCATCCATTTCCTACCCCGGGGCACACTGACTTCTGAGCATTTGTACAAAATCTGATTGTCATTACATTACATTACAGTTCCTCGGCTCCAGCCACTTGGCAACGGTGGTCCATCTTCACCCACTGACAACTGTGATTGTCAGGAAGAACTGCCAAGAACTGCGCCACACAGATGGTGAGGGAAGGAACATGGAGGAGGCCGCTTTCTCTTTCCTGCAGGCCCAAACATAATCACACTCTAAATATTTTCTAAGTAGGATGATTCGGGCTTGTTGACATGCGCCCCACTGGAGTGAATACATGTAGACAATAGTGTAAAATCATAGAGTACTTTTGAGTGTATAGCAGCCTGCAGAAGCTTTTTCAGTATTGTGAAGACTCGGCAGGGAGCAGTGTTCATCGTGTGTTTGCCAGGAGCAGATTTCCACCCACGGCGAGCGGCAGGCTGGGCTGGCTGCGAGGACTGCGCTCATTGGACGACTCGTGGAAGAGGAGAGAAGGCACAATGCCATTCATGGTTACACTGTGCGCAAGAACACCGAGCTCTGGTTTACTTTTCTTCAATGCTTCTGTTTATCCAAAGAAAGAAATAAGTCCTTTGTTATTTAATGAACTCTTAGTATACAGCCTAAAACAATTCTATATAAATAATTAATGTTTGGTTCTGCGGTGCGCAAACAATAACCAATGTGATTTATTGCTGTTTATGAGAAGTCATTTATGAAGCCTTCGTACGTCACACGCGTCCCATGCTCGGTTGGGGCTGCTGATAAATCTGTGGCTTCTTTACAGGCAGCAGACAGATGGGGTCGCCAAGAGTCCGAGGTGAAACTGCGCACGAGCCAAACCAAAAGTGCCCGTTTATGTGCGGGCTATAGATCTGTTTGCGTCTGTATCAAGCCTCAGTCAATAGCGCGCAGCCAGGGAACAACAGGGCAACACGAGCCGCTCAGGAGATTGATTGTTAAGCAACTGATCCGGTTAATTTCACCGAAAGTCTCATTTAGTGCGCGCCGTGCGTACAGCCCGTTACATTAGACAAACAACTAACACAGAATATTGTAACAGGCAAATAAGTGGCGAGATTAAACGGGCTTTGCATTTTTCTCGTGCCTTGACATGAATTATGAGTTTTATCGCTGGTAGCTTACTCTTTGGCAGACTTGTTCAAAGCAGACACCTCCTACCTGCTCGCTCTGCCTCTCTCTCCTCTTCTCACACTTTCCCCTCAGATACCAAGATGGCGGCAGCCTCATCTATCCAGCCGCCGAGTGTTCACTCTGCTGTTGCCCGGGAGAGCGCACCACTTACCCCGGAGATGGACAGTCCCGAGAGCCGGCGGCAAGAGGATGAGGAGGCGGCGGTCCAGCCCTCGGAGCCCGGGGTGAGCCTCCGCGAACTGCCGGAGCTGGAGCCGGAGGAGATCGAGAGGAGACTGGCCAAAACGCGCCAGGAGCTGAGCAACAGGAGGAAAATCCTCATTAAGAACCTGCCACCTGACACCACCAACCAGGTACGAGCCTCTGATGAGAGCGTAACAAGTAGCGCGCGAGGAGAAAGAGTTTGAGCGACAACATCCGCGTGGCCAGACTTTTACGCGTGTGTGCGCAGCGGACTGTCCACTTGTACTTTTGTTTTACGCTTAGTTTATGTGGTTTTAATTGCGCCTCAAACTGGACATAAACACAGATATGCTTTGGTAAGACATTTGGAGCAGTTACAGCCGTTGCGTGTACGTGCGTGCGGCGTGACAGTCCGGCTGGTGCCTGAGAGCTGACGGGCTCTTGATGCTCTTGAGGAATTGAAACCATCAGGACAGTTCTGTCAACACCCCTACAGACTGTACTGAAGGAAGTTCAGCTGTGCGGGCGAGGAGTACATACAGTAGTAGACTAATACTTTGAGAATGATTAGGTTATATTTAGGCGTTCTTCTTAGTTTTACATTTATTTGGTGGCATGATGCTGGTGTGTGCTGTCTCTCAGGACCTGCACCTGTTACTTTAAGCATCGTGTGTTAGTGTTTGTGATCATCTTTTAGTTTAGAAAGCCGTGTCTGTGGAGTTGTGCCAGAGCGGATTCCTCTTCAGTGCTCTTTGACTAAAGCGCTGTTATGACCGGGAGTCTTTCTTCATCTCAATCTCAATTCGTCTACGTCTGTTGTGTTTATTCTGCCATGTGACCTCAAACTAGCATGACTTCATTGTTTTACCATTAAGATCTATTGAACCCGTGCTCGTTAGTGCCATTCATCACTGGTGTCAGCTGTAAGCCTTTCTGGAGCTCTGTGTGAAGAAGGCGCTGGGTCCTTCAGGCTTGTACCAAACGCTCTTAGTCAAAGGCAGGCTGCCAAGAGCGAGCTGCAGTCTGCATACCGCTCACTGCTCCTGGGTTATATGAGAATCATGGAGCCAAATGCAAGCAATGGAGAAGTGTCTGTATAGTGTGAGAGAGACTTATAAGGCAGAATAGGTTGTGTTCACATCATATACTGTATAGTAGCCGCTGCGTTTGAAATAAGAAGTGAAAATGGGGGCGCATCCGGCTCCATCGACTCTGTTTCCAATTGATTTTACATTGAAAAACTGTCACCCCTCTCTCTGGAACTGCTGCAGCGAGCCTCGTCATTTTGGTCTTAAAATGTTCATATTAACTCGCTCTACATGATCCTGGTGTTAGCAGGTTCTTTTTGCAGACCAAGGTTTTGTTTTCATACCTGACATTTTCGACTGGTCACTAGCGTTCTTCCTCAGAGTGGTCACGTGATGTTGCCGTGCTGATTTAAACAGGTTTTGGCGCTGTCTTCCTAACGGTGGAGGCAGGACGACAGCGCCATCTGCAGTCCGACTTCCTCAGGACAGCATCTCAGGTGTGTGAGAGTAAAAAAGCCCTCTCGTTCTGGTTTATAGTCCTGTGGGCACGTTTCCGTATTTCGATTGCTTCTTTAATCCAGCGACGGTGTTTGTTTTCCTCTGTCTCAATGATGTTTGCTCCGTCCCAGTCCATAATGTGGTCCTGCCTCCACCAGTAGGAAGACAGCGCCAAAACCTGTTTAAATCAGCTGACCAGAAGCAGCACAGCAACATCATGTGACCACTCTGAAGAAGAGACCGGTAGTGAGCAGTCGAAACTTTGAGAAAACAAACTCTTGGTCTGAAAAAAGAACCTAATAACATAAAATATCGGAAGACCAAATGAACCTCATTAGACTACGATCTTGGTGTTTTTATTTTGCTCTTTTATCTGTAAATAAATTCCTTTTTCTAATATGGACCTGGTTCCAAATTCGTTCCTATAACTGCTATCCTCGTGAGTTTCATTTGACTGGAGCCGATCGTACTCACAGATGGTGGACAAAAGGGCTGAACAATATGTAACTGTGATTATTCTGACAAGCAGTTCTGACAGTTTAAAGCGCCCATATTCATGCGATTTTCTGATCTATGTTATAATGTTGTCTCCTCATCACAAACAAATTCATGGAGTTGTGTTTTGTTTCATTTGCACATGTTCTACACACAGTAACGCTGCATATTTACACTCTGTTCCACCTTGTGACATCATGTGGTATAACAGGAAATGCCCCACTGTGTTTTTAAACTCCATACACCTTCATTACAATCAGTGAACTAAACTAAACTGAACTAAAGCTGTTAACTTGAAAACCTTCACTACATGACATCCTAAAGCGGAACGGAGCGAGTTCAGCTTTGGAAATGTAGACAGACTAATAATAGGGTTACTCAAACATGAATGAAACTAAACACAACTCCAGGTCTGTTTGTGGTGAGGGAAAAACATTATAAAGTGGCAAAGTACGGGCGGTAGTAGCTCAGTTGGTAGGTTCGAATCTTGCTCTTGACATAAACATCATTAGTCGAGCGGTCAAATCCACTGACCTGCAGGTTGGCTGGTGTGATTCCCACTCCCGCAGATGAATGCTATTGTTGTGTCCTTGGGCAAAACACGTAACCCACCTCGCCCATAGTGTTTGCGTACACTGGTGTGTGAATGTGTGTGTGAGTGGGTGAGTGGTTCCTCGTTGTAAAGCGCTTTGAAAAGTGCTATAGAAAACTGTGACCATGACCATAAAGTAGATAAGAAACTAACATAATATGGTCCCTTTAACAACTGGGTCCACAAACCTGCACAGCGCAAAAACTAAAAACTAGCCAAGTTAAGATGACATCAATATTTGAGTAAATTTCAGTTGACAAGTAAAATGATCTGCCAGTGGAATGGGACGTTTTGTACTTAAAATATGAAAATACACCTGGCTACACTTAAAACAAGAAAAACAGCAACTCTTTGCACTTGAAATAAAAAAGAAAATTAATCTTGCTTGAATGAATAAAACACGCACTTATTCCATTAGTAGTAACGATGGTAACGATATCCAAGTCTCTCGATACGTTATGAACGTCACAATATGATATTTATTGCGATATCATGGGAAAGCTCACGATAAGGTGGGGAGGCTCACGATTATGTAACAATATCCAAATCTCTCTGTATGATATTTTCATGATATAAATCTCACAGTACGATTTTTTTGTGGAGGCTAACAAAACTGTTAATTAGGGCCCGACCGATATGGATTTTGTTGCGGCCGATATGATACTGTTAAAATGAGAGCTGGAGCTGCCGATAGCCGATATAATTGCTGATAGATTTAGTGATGTAAAAATTCACTGTAAATCTTGAATTGTTTAAAAAACATACCTCTTTGCATCATATTTACAGACAGTATGTCAGCCTAATGGCATTTTTGCATCACATTCTAGCTACTGGTAAAGAAAGTAAACTACCGCTATTAGCCTTTAGCCGTAAATGTGTGCGCGCCGCGCCGCAGTAATTCATTATATTATGTGTAAATGTCGATCTATTCACAACTCATTTACATATCAATGCAGATCCAGTAACATATATACGGCCAATATAGTCACTTTACAGTAGGCCAATGTAAGAGAAAACTGTCTGTTTATGTGCGTGAGCTACAGCAGCTAATCGCTAACCCATGAGAAAGAACCAAAACCAACATTAAAACACATTTCCAACAGTCACCGCTCACACAGGCTCCTCTCAAGTCACAAGTCTGCACTAATAAATGTCCTTTTAATCCAGACTCAAACCGATTGTCCGTAAAAAGAATATAATCTCAGTGTTTGGATCTATGTCTGCGAGTGTAAACAAGAGCACGTGAGTGATGTGACTCCGGGGGTGTGTTCAGGGACAGTACGGCATCACAGACACAAACAAATGACTCCACAGATAAATACTGATGCGGCGCCACATATTAGAACATTTATCTGTCTGTAAATTGGACTAAATGAACATAATGTAGAGAGTCTAAGCTTTATAACGAGTTATAACATGCCCACAGGAAATATTGGCCCATATTGGGAAGATATAGGCCAATCACCGATATGTTTCCAAGAGCCCATATCGGCCGATAATATTGGCCAACCAATATATCGGTTGGGCCCTACTGTTAATACGATACTTTTTCTTCTTAAAATGCCTTGTCAAGATTTAATCCAATGAACTAAGACTTCAAAGTGCTTAGAACTGTTATTTCTTCATGTAGTCTACACTGAATTGGAGCAAAGGATCATGGTCTATGTAGTTCTTTCTGTCTTTTGGCGCTATTGCTGCACCTTAACTCTTAATTTAAGCAAAGAGACTTGTAATTCAATATATTGTGATGAAGAACTTTGACAATACAATATCACAATATTTCAGTTATTGTTACATTCCTAATTGGTAGATAATTTTACTTGTCAAGGTGAAACTACTCAAATAAAGTAAAAAGTCATTTTAACTTACTTAGATATATTGTTTTTTGCAGTACAATATTAATGTTATTACTTAAGGTCAACAGTCTCGCCTAGAGTTGCATAATGACTCCACTTTCTGAGGCTGTTTTGAAAAAATGATTTCACTTTTGTTTATTTATACTGACTGATAAGACATTAAACTTTGTGCCAATTTTTATTTCATCTAGACAGGCTTAATAATTGCAGAGATATTAACTGTAAACCAGGTCAACAACAAATCTCACAGTTAAACCGCAAATTCTACCATAGAATTCTGACCTATATGATCAAAGTCAGAGGATTCAGAAGGGAACACAACAAATATGGGACATTGGCTCTTGGGTATTTCCTCAGTGATACAAGAAGTGGCCCCGGGGCAGTTCAGAGCGAAGGAATCGTAAATCAGATCTCTCCAAAAAGACATGTTTCATTAAAAGCAGTTGGATGTTTGTGTGTGATCAGGGGAAAAGCAGTGTTTACAATTGGCTTCGATGTTGGATTTGAAAACTCCCCGAAAACACTAATGCTGCTGTTTACATGTAACAGAATACAGAAACACTACTAGCTCCGCTGTTAAGTCTGTGTAATGGAAAAAAATACAAATATTTATGTAACTAGTCCAGATGTCATGTGTGCACCAGACTGTGAGTTGGCTGCACACATATATTTACTACCACTACTACTACAACTACTTCTAC